CTGAGCTGCTGAGTCAAGTCAGAGGAGGGGCTGCACTGACAGCATTCACCTCTACAGGGAAACAGCATGGCTCACACAACACTGACGAATAGAAGATCCCAGAGCCCGTCTCTCATCACTGGGGAGAGGGGATTGGGGAGCAGCAGTCCCAGTGTTCCCGTTACAGGAAGGCAGCTCAGGTACCTACTGAGTGAGCCACACCTGGGCTGTGGTGGAGCTCAGGGAGAAAATCCCCTCCTGCTCTGGGTTTAGGTTGCTCAGAGCAACGTTCATAACATAAATATAGGAAGGGGAGAAAAATGAGCTCTGTCACCGCAAGTCTGAGGCCTGGTTAGTTAAGGATGGAATTTAAAGGACAACTATGTCCATCTCAGAAATAAAATGTAGAAACGGAAAAAATAACAACAATGCCAGGACAGATTATAGAACAGACCATCAATTGCTCATATGCAAACCGAAACTGAAGAAAATGAAAACAAGTCCATGAGAGCCAAAATAACATCTTGACTATATCCCACCTGAATTTAGAAATCATCTGAAGAACAGATTTATACATTAAACACCAAAGACCGAAGACCAGAAGAGTTGTGGGATGACATCAAGAACATCATACATAAAGAAAGCAAAAAGTCATTAAGAAGACAAGAAAGAAGGAAAAGGTCAAAATGGATGTCAGAAGAGACACTGAAACTTGCTCTCCAGTGTAGAGATGCTAAAGCAAATGGAAGAAGTTAGGAGTTACAAGAGCTGAACAAATATTTCAAAGGTCAGCTCGAGAAAATAAAGTCAAATATTATAATAAAATGTGCAAAGATGTGGAATCAGAAAACCAAAAGGGAAGAATAGGCTCAGCATTTCTAAAGCTGGGGGAACTGAAGAAAACATTCAAGCCTCGACTTTTGTTATTGAAGGATTCTCTGGGCAAATTACTGAATGATGCAGAAAGCATCAAAAGAAGATGGAAGGAATACACAGAGTCACTATACCAAAAGGACATGGTTGATGTTCAACCATTTCAAGAGGTAGCATATGATCAAGAGGCAATGACACTGAAGAAGAAAGTCCAAGGTGCATTGAAGGAACTGGCAAAGAACAAGGCACCAGAAATTAATGGAATGAAAATTGAAATCTTTCAGGAAAGTGAGGTGGCACTGGAGGTACTCACTCAGCTATGCCAATAAATTTAGAAGACAACTATATGGCCGACTGATTGGAAGAGATCCGTATTTGTGCCCATTCCAAAGACAGGTGACCCAACGGAATGTGGAAATATTCGGACAATATTTTGATAGACCATGCAAGTAAAGTTTTACTAAAGATAATACAGAAATGACTGCAAGCATAAATTGACAGAAAACTTCCCGAGGTTCAAGCCGGATTCGGAAGAGGCGGTGGGACGAGGGATATCACTGCTGATGTCTGATGGATCTTGATGAAAGCAGAGACTACCAGAAAGATGTTTACCTGTGCTTCATTGACTATGCAAAGGCTTTCGATTGTGTGGATCATAACAAGCTATGGACAACACTGTAAAGTATGACTGCTCTGGAACATTTAATTGTGCTCATGAGGAATCTTTACATGGACCAAGAAGCAGTTGTTCGAACAGAACATGGGAACACTGAATGGTTTCAAATTAAGAAAGGTATGCGACAAGGTCGTATTCTTTCACCATACTTATTCAACCTATATGCTGAGCAAATAATCTGAGAAGCTGGGTTCTATGAAGAGAAACATGGCATCAGGATTGGAGGAGGACTCATTAACCACCTGCGATATGCAGATGATACAACCCTGCTAGCTGAAAATGAAGAAGACTTAAAATATTTACTGATGAGGATTAAAGAGCATAGCCTTCTGTATGGATTTCATCTCAATGTAAAAAAAAAAAAAATCCTCACCACTGGACAGAGAATAGATTGACGTTGTCAAGGACTTCATTCTTCTTGGATCAACTGTCAACACAAACAGAAGCAGCAGTCAAGAAATCAAATGACATACTGCATTAGGCAAATCTGCTGCACAAGACCTTTATAAAGTGTTAAAGAGCAAAGACGTCAGCTTGAAGACTAAGGTGCGCCTGACCTCTGTCATGGTATTTTCAATAGCCTCCTATGCATGAGAAAGTTGGACAGTGAATAAGGAAGACTGTAGAATGACTGATGGTTTTCAGTTATGGTGCTGGAGGAGAAAATTGAAAGTGCCAAGGCTGCCAAAAGTTTCAACAGATCTGTGTTGGAAGAAGTGCAACAAGAGTGCTCCTTGGAGGCCAGGATGCCCAAAGTCCGTCTCTCATACTTCAGACATATTGTCAGGAGAGACCAGTCGCTTAAGAACGATATTGTGTTTGGTAAGATGGAGGGTCAGGAAAAAGAGGAAGACCCCCAATAAGATGGATTGGCAAAGTGGTAGCATCAATGAGTTCACGTGTGGCAAAAGTATTGTGCCAGGATCGGGCAGTGTTCTGTTCTGTTGTGCATAGGGTCGCTATGAGTCATTACAGCCTGGATGGCACCTAACAACAAGAAGAAGCATTTAAAAACATTATACACATGGGGAAATGAACATAGGTCAAGGTAGGCTGAGAGTGAAGAGGGAATGAGAAGGAAGATGGGCTTAGTTGAGACATTTTCCTGAGGGGAAGTTCTCTCCAGAAAACAGATATCAAGGTGAAAGCTTCTTCCATTTCCACAGGAGCATAGGTAAAAAGAATGGACTCACTTGTGGGTTAAGCTTGCTCATTTGGAGGCCGAAAGTGGAATTTCTGCTTCTTGGTGAGATAAGAGGTAAGGGCATAAAATGGAGGGTGGTGGTGGAGGTTAACAGGGACAGAGTTTTTTAAGGAGAGAAAATATTTGATAATCTTCAAGGACACAAGAGCTGAGACTACCAGGCAGCACTGAAGACTTAGCCTAAAGCAAAGAGTGGCAGGAATCTGCAAGGCGGTGTGACTCACCCAGCAGGATCCAGCACATTCCCTCCCGCCCCATATTCCTGACCTTCCCACAGTGGCACAGCTCCCCTCTTCCAAGAGTAAAGGTTCGAGAATTTCCATCTTTCTACCTTTCTACATCTTTAAATGGTTGAGGGAAAAAATATCACAATAAAAATTTTATGACACATGAAAATCAAGATCTCAGCATCCATTCAGAATATTTTATTGGGATGTAGTCAGGCTCTGATGCTTCCATATGGATGCTTCTATACCAAAACTGCTGAGTTGAGTAGTTGTAACAGACCCATTAAGGCTTACATAACGGGAAATACTTACTATCTGGCCCTTTATAGAAAAATTTGCTAACAAAAAATTTAAGAAGAAAAGGAAAGAAGGAATAGAAAAAGTCAGTTGCTAGATCATAAATACAGAACTACTATTACTTTATAAAGGTAAGTTAAAATTGATAATATTAGGACATAATATAAAAACTGCAACCACACTCCAATCTGCCATTTTTGGCTAAGCATAGTCACACATATCCAGCTGATACTTAATGAAATACATCAGACAGGTCAATAAAAATTGTACACTGTTATAAAATCCTAAGAGGAAGCATCAAGCCACCTTTCTGATTTAATTCTAGGGAGAACGGTAGCAGGTTTTCAATATCTAATCAGGGAGGCCCAAAAATTTTGCTCAATTTAGTTCCTTTGCCAACATCAAACTCAGCTTTCCTGTTTTGAATTCCAAGAGATTATTAAAAGATGTTTAACTTACTACTTAGATTCTGGCATCTAAATAAATTGCATTTATTACTCTAATAAAAAATAAATTAAAAGCTGTTGCTTTAACAAATAATCCAACCTCAGTCTTATACATCCCAGGTGGAAACAATTATATCACTTACTAAAGATGTTTTAAAAATATATGTTTCAAAGTTCTACAGGCTATCTATTAAAAAATTATTTTTTAAAACAGGTTTACCAAGATCAAAACTATCCCTTGTTTTGGCTTACACACTATCTAAAAGGTATCAAAAGTTAATTTCTAGAATTTATAGTAACCTGCATTAAAACAGCTCTTAAGAGTTGCGATTAGCGGTAGAAATAAATACCTGTATTAAAATGGCTCAATTTGAAAGGTACAAATTTTAATTTTGTCTCCCACTGAATTTAAATCTTTAGTTGTATTTTAAAGTAGCTTTTAGTATGTTTCAACAGTGCTGTAAATAATGGAAATATCAACAACAGAAAAAAAATGAAGAAATGATGTGTGCAACAGTAAAGTGAAGACAATTAAAAAACAAAACCAAAAATAGTAAAGTAAAATTTGTTAATGTTTTTCTTATAACTTCCCTTCCACATCTCCCTCTCACTTGGGTCAGAAATGCTCCTGCAGACACGTGACATGCTAAAGGAAGATACTAATAGTTTCACTATTGTAAAATATTTTGCTGGAAATAGAATGAATACATTTTTATACAAGATTATCTAGCAACACAAACCCAAATTTTAGCATACACACATAGATTATGCATCAAGTATTTAATAAAATATATTTCAATTGACATAAAAAACTGAACAAAGTTCTGAAAGTAATTATGGACTATTCTAATACACAAAAATGTTTCTTTTGTAATACAATATAAAACTATATCAAGAACCATACAAAACTATATATTATAGAGCCATACATATATTGTGATTTTGTGTTATTTAATCATTGTTTTCTACTTACTCCAATTATTTCTTAAGAATACAAAATTACATCTACCCTGGAGTTAAAATGGAGTATCCTTCAGCTTCCAATCTCGGACAACCATCTTTAGAGAAGCTTGAATGGTTACCACAGAGCAATTTCTAAATGATGTGCACTATCAAATATTTAATTTCAATCATATCTGAAAATATTACTCCCATATGGGGGCAATAATAAAACAACAAAAAAAAGTGACTTATAGTTTCTCTGCCATTCTTTTACTTTTTTTTTTTTGGTGGTCGGGGGGCACTGTACACAAACGATGTACTATGGGAATAAATAATCTTCAAATTCCAAAACATACCTTGCCATGAGGATCAGCAAACATCCTTGTGAAAATTTCACATAATCTTTTCAGCTCAACTCGACTGCCAAAATAATAAAGTTACTAATTAGAATACTGCTGTAGGAAGAAGTCATTTAAAGGTAATCTTCTATTAATTAGGCAATTGTTGTTGATGCCGTTAAGTGCATTGAGTCAGTTCTGATTCAAAGCGACCCTGTAATAGGGTTTCTGAGGAGAGTCTGGTGGATTAGAACCACCGACTCTGAAGATCAAACTGACCTGTCAATCCAGCTGTTTGTCCTATACCTGCAGTGCCACACCAGTTTCTTTAAAATAAAAATGGTAAAATTAACAGCCCTCCAAATTGATAAATATTTGTCATTTACTAGTCAGGGCTAAGTACAAAGTGTACAAAACAAAACAATTAATAACATTCTGTGATTAAGCACATAATAAAAGTGGAAGGTTATAAAAAAAGAAATACATTTCCTTAATGCAGCATGAACAGAAATTTTCCAAGTCACATTCCCAGAACCTTACCCTTAGTAAGTACCAGGATATTTACTTTTTGACACTTAGGTACTGAAATATTATGCATAATCCCTTTGACATTTAAAAATGTTTCTTGCACCTAATATTATCCTAATCTTGATGGGGTTGAAAACAATACTATGATTCAGTAATTCTTTCAGTGTGGTATGCATACATAAAAATAAACACTGAACTGCTAATTGCAAGGTCGACAGTTCCAATTCACCAGTTGCTCTTTGGAAACTCTATAAACAGGTTCGCTATGAATCGGAACTGACTCAAAGGCATTTAACAAAAACAATACTTTCTAAAATCAATAAACAGTATATCAAACTCCAGGAGTCCTGGTGTGGCATTGTAGGATAAAAACTGATCTGCTAGCTGAAAAATCAGCAGGTCAAACCCACCAGCTGCTTCTCAGAAACCGTATACAAGATCGCTATGAGTCAGAATTGACTCAACGACACTTACCAACAACAACATATCAAACTCTGACTTAAGAGTACCAAGTCAGAATTCTGTGAATTAAAAAAAAAAAAAAAACAGAACTTGAGCGTGTGCAATTACAATACTGATAAAGGTAGTCTTACTTTCATTTTCATATATTTCTGTACACATATGTTTAACAATCCAGGAAACAGCCAAACCACTTACATATGTTACTGGTGTGTGCCAATGAGTCGATTCCAACTCATATTCATGCTATACAACAGAAGTGTTCCCTAAGGTTTCCTAGGCTGTCATCTTCATAGGAGCAGATCGCCAGGTGGTTTCACCAACAGAGCAGCTGGCAGGTGTTATTTGTCAAACTTTTGTTTAAATACTATACTACCAGATCTCTTTAAATACATAAGAGTGCTTCAAAAAGTATTTGGGAAAATTCCATTATCTTTCATTCCATTTTTCCACAAATTTTTGAGCTCCCTCATACAGTTAGCTCTTGAATTATGCAGATATACCTGACAGCATCATTTCATAAAAAACACAAATTTATATCAGTAATACATAATATCTATAGTCATACAATATTCTAGAAAACCCAAGCAGTTTTCTTGCTTTATTATTACAGGAAACTAAGATTTATTTAGAGAAGCATGAAATAAATACTAACCCTAATTTAAATTATTTAAGTATTCATGTCTGTAAAAGTATGAGGTTATGATCTATTTCTAATCAGGTTTTAGAGAATATCAGAATAGGTATTTTTTTAAAAGAATGAACTATATAGATTTAAAACATTATGTAGATAAGGACGATGCTGAATGTATGAGAAAAAAAGCCAGCAAAAGCCATTAAGAAAGGCAACTAAGCAACAACGAAGAACAACTTCTGTACTTAGGGAAATTCACACTTGTATTACATGAACACTAACAAAAATAGTTTTGTTTCCAAATGAGCATATAAACGTCTGTCCTCTCAGTAAGAAACTTACCAGGAATTAACTTCAATAAACTAGCCAACTTTAATATTTAATTTAAAAAAATAACTTTAAAAATTTACTTCAATTTTTGAATGAAAAGTTTGCTTTAAAAATATTTCCTTAAATAAAGCAGGTGAATTAACAAGAAATTTAGTACACTACAGAGTATCATGGCTCACTCTGATACCATTTCTGAATTCAAGGAGAGTCAGCGCAGTTTGTCCGATACCAGTGTATCTCTAAATTGTTAGGACAACAATATCAAGTCCAAGTATGTGAACATGGGCAGGAAAATTATTTTAAGACAAGACATCTCACCTCAGTGTTCTCTGATTTTTTAGTAAGTTCTGCAGACCCAGAAGGCCTTCTTTCCTTTCTGACCAGTTGGAACTAGCACATCGATTGAGGACCTCTGCCACATCTTCTGTCTGTCTCATGTATGTCGGAATACTACCATTTCGAGAACTATAAGAACGTTCTGAACAAGCACTAGATGCATCACTGTTGGCATCATCGTCTGAATGCATCCCATACGATTCATATCTTCTTCGAGCAGGCTTTTTCTGTTACACATAAAGAATCTCATCAGTGGTACTAAAATAACATTTTGATAGTATTCAATTTCTACTGACCACATAAGGATACATTTTTGCTTTAAATTCAGTGCAAAGCATGCTGCTAATCATTATAATAATAAAATGTCAAGATTTAGTTTTTCTTCAGAAAACTTGTTTTAGAAGTTAGTAGAAGATGAAATATTCTTTAACTATGGAAAGTGGTAGAAGTAGAATAAGATTATATGGAAGTTTAGGTATGTAGAGTGGGAAGTACTTAAGAATGCGAATCTTTTCCTTTTCTTTTTTTCACCTTTTCCATCTAGTTGTCTAGCTGATTTCGACTCAGTGACCCTATGGGAAAGAGTAGAACTGTCCCAATGTTTCCAAGGCTGTAAACCTTTATGGAAACAGACTGCCACATCTTTCTCCAAAGGAGTGGCTAGTGGGTTCACACAGCTGACACTGTGGTTAGCAGCCACAGTGCTTTAATGACTGTGCCACCAGGGTTCCTTCAAGCAGAATCACTAGGATATAAATTAATAGACACTGTACTAGAAACTTAAGTTGATAAGAATAAAATATTTCCTCTTCAAAAGGATGAGTCCAACAGATTGAAAAACTCATGCTTTCCCCTGTATGAGGTTCTTCTATCTTTTCCCTTCTTTCAACACTCTCTGTCCGCTATTCTCCTGTCACCTCCCTGTGTTCTTCTCTTGCCACTCTTCCTTCCTTCCTTTGAAGCCAACCCTCATGTCTCCTAGAAAAGTAAAATACAGATAAAGAAGGATCTGAGAACCTGTCCTGCTTACTATTATTTTTAATTATGCACGCTGTTCTTTGAAGGCCATCCTAAGCTAGTGTTAATGTTTGTATGTGGTTTACTTCAATAAAACTGAGAAAGCATATTCTGATTATTCCTTCTATTTGTTTATATCTAAGAGTTGCTATTAATGCCAACCTTATTTCGCACCTTACAAATGAAAAGAGAAAGAATAAATAAAACATTTAAGATTTCCTTGGAAGAGTTGGGAACAAATTTTTATATAATACTTGAATTTAATTGGGTGACTGGTGAACACATTTCTAAGAAATATATTAAGCACAATAATTGAAATAGTTCTAGGTAGCTACAACTCTCTAAAGTGTAAAATCTAAAAGAACTTGTTGTGTGCCATCAAGTCGGTACCGACTCAAAGTGACCCTTTGTAGGCTTTCTTAGAGCGACTGGTGGGTTATTCGACCTTGTGGTTATCCAGTGCTTATCCTACAGTGCCACAACAGGGTTTCTAAAATAACTTAATCCATAATACTTCTATAATGATAATTCTATTACTAAATGCCTGATCTTAAAATAGATACATCTAGAATTTTCTTGGCAAAATTAGGTACTGAAATTCAGAATTGTAATGTTTCCTGTACAGACTCTAAGATCAGTTTTGCTATATACTTTAGTGTTAATAACTTCACTTCATTTGCATAAAGTAGTTAGCCATAAAGGACCGGCACAATCATAGGATGCTCTATTAAAGCAATATCTCCTTGTGGGTACTAATACATACAGAAAAACAGACATATGCCTAAGAATTATTACTTCTACTTTAAGTTTTTACAGAGACTATAATCTGTTAAACTGATGACACAAAAGAAATAAAAGTTATGCAATCATAAGATGTCAGAAAATATCAATGTCTATACCTTAGTCCGTATGTCTCCTAAGAGCTGAGAGCAGTAATTTTTTAAAGAGAAAAATTGAAAATAATGAAGAACATTTTGCTAAACAGCATAGTGAAGTAGGCATTATTAAAAATGCTCATGATCAGAAACATTAAAATTTTAGCATATGGATACAAAGACAGCAAGATAGATCTTTAATGCTGCTAATATCCTTTAGTCCAAAGAAAAATGTCTAAGTGACAAAATACTCCCAGAACCAGTTTTCCCAAAGAAACTCAAATCTTTTTCTATTTGACTTCTTTTGCCATTTACAACAATAATTTTAGCTCTGATTTTTCCCAGGTCCACATTAGGTTTGTTGTTGTTGTTAAGTGCTGTTGAGTCGGTCCTGACGCATAGTGACCCTGAATAGAGTTCCCGAGGAGGGACTGGTGAGCTTGAACCACTGACCTTGTAGTTCAAATGGCTTTGCAGTCTGGTACATTAACCCACAGCGTAACACTGGGACTCCACTCTAGGCTAAGTAGTCAGAAAAATTGTTTTCTAAATATTCGTCACTCTAATTGGAGAATTTGTGGTATGCACATGATAGAGGTGTTACAATCAGATTACTGGGATTTAGATTTTTTAGCCTTGGTGGTCAAATTTTCCTCAGATAAATCACATATAACATTTTAGTATATAATTAATACTTCAAGAATAGCCCATGCAATTCATAAAATTGCATGTAAGCAAAATTTAACAGGTAAGTCATCCAATTAAAAAAACAAACTAGAAAACACTATCTCAGAAATACAATGATGAAGAATAATAAATTTATAGCACATGACCAATTTAAATGTATGATTACATTTAATACATTATAGCTAAGACCCATATTTTCAAGCTGGTTTTCCAAATTACATCAACACTGAATAAGACAGGATCTCCAGGTATAAAAGGCATAACAAATATTTTACTTCAAAATAAAAGCAAAGCCTTCTATAAATCTTGGTTAAGGAACTGAGTAAATGTTTCTGAAACATAGGTCTAAGATCATACATGATTCTATCGATTGTTTTAAAGCCTCACTGCTTAATGTGTTGGGCATAGAAAACCAGGAAGATAAATGCTTTGAAGCTATACTTTCTCTCAGCTCAGAAAAATGTAAATTGAGACTAAACAAAGTTGTTTTCCAAACAAAAACAATTCTTAAACGCTCAAGGTTACGCTAACTCTAAAATTACGTGCTTTTAAGCATGCTTATTTATAGATCAATTGAAATGTCTCACCTCTAGTATACTACAGGGCAGAAAACACCATCACCATGCAAAAGACATCACTATTTATATTCTTGACATTCCCATCAGTTTCTATTGGCCCTGACTTAAAATTCTGACCAATTAATAATCATTAAGAATTAGTTATTCTGCTTTTTTTTTTTTTAATGTTGCAAAAGTTTAATGAGAGTCCTCATTTACCTTCCTCGATTTAATTAAGAGGAATTATTATACCTCCTTCCCCATAGTAATGAACTGACTTTTTCAAACATTAGTTTCAAAACATTTAAAATTATTAAGGAATGGAGAAAAGTACCAAGGCATCTGCTACTGCCTCTTCCACATCGGAACCTGTGTTCAGGACTCGCATGGCACTGACGGAGGATGACAGTCGGCTTGACTGGCTGATCCCATATCCTGGACCTATTATATCAGAAAAAGGAAAAGATCTGTGAGAGTTATTAATTTAACAGGGTTAGTTGGAAAAATTTAAGACCTTTAAGTGAAAGGGGTAAAAAAAAAAAAAAACCAATGGAGCAAAGCATTTTAAAAGCAATCTTGTTTAATTTCCTGGGCACATTTAACTTTTGGCAAAATAAATGTTAAGCACAATTAAAATTATTGACAATGTGTGGGAAATAAATGTAAAGAATAACAGATATATTCATGACTACGAAAACTGACGAGAGCATGGGTGGCAAACAAGGGCTTGGAAGTTTATTGCCCTGTAATTAATCCAGCTGTATTTATCAGATAAATCTTCTGTATGGGCAAGCCGCAGAGTAACCCAGGACAAACATTAATCCCCAATAATGATTAAGAAGTTCAATGAAGCCACATGAGGAATTGACAAGGATAAAAAGCTCCTATTATCATCTCTACTAAAAGTTAGGCTGATTTCAAATTCTGTAAGTAAGACATATCAATTAGTATTTGTCAAGTACCTAAGTGCCCAGCAGTCTTCAGTACATAAAGACAAAACAGAGATGGATTCTGTCCCCACTACTTTCTAAAACATAATTTATAATTAAAATACTTCATCC